CTTATGAGCAGTGATTAAATTGACTAGTGTCATGTAAACTAATCAATCAAAATTAGTCTTTACGATTATTACAGTTTTCATTTATTTCAACAGTCCATTAATCAAAATTCTAATTAAATCAACTGTCACAAAAATAAACAAATCAAAATCAGGTCTTCTGATTATTATTTTTTCTTTATTGCTTCAGTTATTGTTATTACGTTTGTCTGTTATTAAGCACAAAGCTATATGATAAGCAACCTGTGCTCTGTTCAATTAAAGCCTTTTTATTTTCTTTAAGTTTGTTCAGCCCTGGTGATTCAAAGGTCTTTTTTTTTTGATTACCATTGCCACCAAATTTGCTCATCCTGTCTTTGTTATGCCAAAGATAGTTAGGTTATCTGCCACTGTCACTAATTTTGAGCTGCTGACTACTAGTAGGAAGGCAACTGGCTGGCAGTACTTGCCACCATATTTTTTTGGTTGTACATACCATAATTTTAGAAAGACTGTACTAATCAATCAGAAAATACCATTAATTACCTAACTTTATAATACAGTCCTCGTAATTAGTGACTGCATAAAGTAAAGCCATTGGGAGTGTTACGATGTTTCATGAAAAATATCAAGTAGAACAGCAAAAAACAATGTCATAAAAAATTATTAACAGTTTTTCCTTTAATTCCTTCTGTGTCAAAAAATAAACTAAAAAAAATTAATTTTTTTTAATTCACATTTTGATAACTAATATATGTTAATGAAACAAAAGTTCTTTTAGGACCCATTATTATATTTCTCCACAAAATATACTTTATAAATAAATGATACATATCTGGATTTATACATGATATATATATATATACAGAGTGGTCACAAGTAAATAGACACCTAATTTTTTGTCATTTAACTGATTTATGATAACTAATTTGTGTTCCCAGAGCACTATATATATATATGAAAATGGTCCGCACAATAATTATCTTGTGCTACAACATGCCTAGAACTCAAAGTTCTCTCGAATTGTCAGATTTTGTTAGGGGAAGAATAGTTGGTCAAGCAGATGGTGGAATAAGTCAGCAGTAAATTTCACAGAATTGGGGAATCCCACTTTCGACAGTCAACACAATCATTGTACAGTTCGGGAAACACGGCAAGGAAACAACTGAGAGGACAAAAAGGGCTGTCAAGAGGAGCATCGAAATGGATCCCAGACTACCAACTGCAGAAGTGGCCAAAGTTGGTGGGATGAGCCCGAAATCTGTTCAACGGATTCTCCACAGATTGGGTTATCATTGCAGAGCAGCTAGACGGAAGCCCTTATTAAGACCTGCCAACATAGTCAGACAACAGAAGTGGGCAAGTGATATGATGACCAAGCCTTAGGACTTTTGAAAGACCGTATTGTTCTCAGACAATTCAAGATTCGCTCAATTTTCTGACAGTGGAGGATATGGGTCTGGAGAATGCCTCACCAAGAATTTTAGCTCAACAGATTGCAGCCAACTGTGAAGCTT